AAAAAAAAATTTTCCCTGGGGGGCAAACCCAAGAGGGGTGGGCCCAGGGGGGTTTTTGGCAAAGTGTTTGGGGGTTTCTTAATTGGTTAAAGGCAAAGGGTTTAAAAAAAAGCTAAAAAAAACGGGGGAGTTTTACTTGGGGAACAAAGGGCTTTTGGAAAATTTTTGGTTTTTTGAATTCTCCAAATTTGCCTTTTGGGCCAAACCAACTTGGGGAAAAAACTTTGGAAAATCCCCAAATTTTTTTGGGGGGCTTGGCTTTGGGTTGAAAAAAAAAAGAAAAAAGGGGGGGGGGGCCTATTAAATCCCAATTTTGTTGGGGGAAATTTAAAGAATAATTCCCAAATTTTAAAAAAAATTAAATAAAAAAAAAAAAAAAAGATAAAAACCCCTTTTAAAAAAAAAAAAAAAGGGGGGGGGGACCCCAACCTTGGAATTGTTTTGGCTTTTTTTTTTTCCTTTTTGTTTTGCCTTCTTCAAAAATTTTCTTTTTGCAAATTGGCTATTGAAAAAACAAGGATCGGGGGGATTTTTCCGGGGGGGGGGAAAAAAAAATCGGGTATTCCGGCCAAAAATTGGGGGTCAAAAAAAAAATCAAAAAATTGATTCGGGGAAATCGGAAAATCGGGGGAGCAAAAAAAAAAAAAGGGTTTTTTTTGAATCGGGGGGGGACAATTCCCCCTTTTTTTTTACTTTTTTTTGCTATTTATTTTTTCAAAAATGGGGGGGGGGGTCTTACTTTAAAAAAAACTTTTTTAACAAAAAAAAAAAAACCATCCCCCATCCAATATTTTTTTATAAATGGGCCCCCCCAAAAGGGTAATTTACCCAAAAAAAAAGGGGGCCACAACTAACAAAAAAAAACCCGCTGGCAAAAAAACAAAAAAATTTTTTAAAAAAAAAAAATATTTAAAACGGTTTTTTTCTTATCCCCCCCCACCCCCCCAATCAAAAATTTTGCCCTTTGGTTAACAGGGGGGGGGGGGGGGGAAAAAAAACAAAAAAAAAACAAAAACATTATTTTAACAAAAACTTTTTTTCTTTTCCCACCACACTTCCTTTTTTGGGTAAAAATTTAAACCCCCACCATGAAAAAAAATCCAAAAAAAAGAAAAAATGGTTTGAAAATTTGGGCCCTTAACAAATTAAAAAGGCCAAGAAAAGGACAAAATTTCAGTAAGGGGGGGAAACTATTTTGTTTTTGGGCCTATGATATTTTTGAAATTTTTTTTTTTAAAAAAAAAAAAAAAACAAAAATTTCCAGTTTTCCAAGGGAAAAAAAAACTTTTTTGGGGGGAACAAAAAAAAACTTTAAAGGGGGCTAGTTTTTCCATTAATTTAAAAAACGAATTGGGTCCACAAAAAAAATTGTTTAATATTAATGGGTTTGTAATTTTATGGTTCGTTACCCTTGTGGTAGGTATTGGGGAAAAGGGGGAAAAAAATTAAACCAAGGGTAATATTGTGCACCTGTACAGTTAGGGGAAATCTATGAATATCGTGGATAATATGAACACTAAAATGAAATATCTGGATCCACAAATGCCAGACATTGCTTAAGCCATCCATCGAGTAGACACCTGCTCACTATGCTGCACAGAGAGACATATGTGATCAAACATAATGTTTCTTAACAAACAGATTGACTCAGAGAGTTACTGTTTAAAAAAAACGGGGGGCAGATCATTTACTTTAAAGACATAACAGGAACTCAAAATGGCAGAAAGCAAGAGAGGCTGTTAGCTAGCTCATGTATCCATTACAGACTCATAAACATACCACATGTTAGCCGCTGTAGCTTGCTGTGTAAGGGGATGTATAATTAGGCTGGAGGGAGTTTAAAGAGAGGAAAAATGGTAAATATTGTACATAAATCAGAGTTTAATGGGGGGTAATGTTACAGGCTGAAGCTTAAAGCAACAGCACGGGATGCTCCAAACAGAGGGGAATATCAAAACTTAAAAGTTTCTAGAAAGTGCTTACGCGGAAAGGATTATTTTTACTGGTGTTTTTTTATGAAATAAAGGATGATTTTGAGGAACAAAAGGGGGAAATGTTGGGATTTTTTTGTCGGGGAGGAGACAAGAAGAGGGAATAGGAAGGCCGCCACGCATCGACTCACACTGCGTTTCTCCCCGGGAACACATTCACCAACAGAAATTAAGGTAAAATACTGAGAATAAACCATCACGCGTCATCTAACCCGTCGGACTCCCCGCCGGAACACATGTAAACATGTGGTTCTTCCGGACCAAATCTTAGCATCCAGAAACAACGTATATATTTCTCACCATTAAAAACTTTGGGCAGCGCTTTCCAGCTGGTGGATCACTTTCTGGTGCACCGACCGCCGCCATCGTTTTCGCTCCCTCTCCAATGACGCGCCATGCGCTCTGCATTGTGGTGGGATTACAGTCTGAAGCAACAGCAAAGCGGGTTTAGAGGACCCAAAGGTTTGCGGGTCGAGCCCCGACCCGCGAGCGGTAGAGGCCAGCAGAGGGTCGTGTATATTCAACAAGGCAAGGTAGGTTTATTACAGCCATTGAAGCTGATTCAAGTGCTTTTACACAACGCAAATGCAACATATAAAGACCATCAACAAAGTAATTATATATATAGCATGGCAGAGTGAGGGGTAACTAAAAAAAAAAAATGAACATTAGGATCAACTAAAGTACCATTGTGAGCTACTTTACTAGAGTATTTCCATCTTATGCTACATTTATAGTACCCACTAGATTTTAAAGGAGAATAAGTGTTTTTTTCTCACTACATTATTATCAGCTTTAGCTTCTTTTAACAAACATTTACAATAGTGCACTACTAACTCTTTAATTCACCAAAAAGTCAATCAGACTGGTTGTTTACCACAATAAAATGCTACTGATGCAACAATATATCTCAGAAATGTCACCGAATATAATTATTATAACACACACATAAGGCCTTTTTTTTACACAATGATTACTTTGACTTGTTATGCCTTTTGTACTCTTATCTTTAAGTACGATTTTGAATGCAGAGACTCTTTTCCTACTATAATGTACTTTACTCAAGTAAGGGCCATCTGCATACTTCTTCCATCACTGTGTATTAGCACTAGATAAGCAAGATAAGAAGTGATTACATTCAACACAAAGCATTTTACCGCTGCAACATGCAAGGAGTACTTTTACCTTTACTCAGATACTGCTAATATTAAACTTCCATTAGTTCAATACCCACTGTGGTATTGCTTCGTTTCTAATTCAATCCATTTAAGTCATATTAAAATAACAGTAAATAGAAGTGGTGGAAATAAATTGCATTTACTTAAGTACAACTTTTTAATGGAATTTTCTTAATATTTCTTATATTCAAGAAGAGGCCATTTCATTGTAATGGCTCCTCATACTTAAAAGTCCCATGTCATGCTTTTCCGGTCACTTACCCTCCCCCTGTGTGTTATGAGGTTTTGTCTGCATTTAAACAGTCTGGTCAGAGTCACAAACCGCTTCAAAAAGGTACACCCTGTGTGAGTAAAACTCTAACACAGCAAAAAGACCTGTCTATGCTTGCCCCAGACAGGCCTCGTTGCGACAATTTCTCTATTTCTTCCTGTGTACAGCGACCGTGCCCATACCCAAATGGACAATCCGTGGAGCGGTTGCGGGCGGCGGGACACGCGCACGCGCACACACACACACACACACACACACACCACACACACACACACACACACACAACACACACACACACACACACACACACACACACACACACACACACACACACACACACACACACACACACACACACACACACACACACACACACACACACACACACACACACACACACACACAAAAACTGTCCTCTTCCATTCACACATTGATGAACTGAAATAAAGCACAAGTCCAAGAAGTTGGTTAATTTAATTTATACATACATTTTACACATAAAGGACTGCTGAAAGCATTTTTACAAATTCTCAATTCATACATAAATACATAAATAAAAAAAGAGATAGCTGTCCACATTACATCGATAATACTGCGTAGACATGGTTTTTTGAACATTAGCACAAGGGAAGTTGAAAAAAAAAGGGAAGGAAAATGATACAAAAAATATGTATATCTGTATAAATATAAATTCAAAAGTAACAGAGTTGTATCATACATCAAGGAGCATCAGAGACAACGAGAGACTCCTTAGAGTAAAATACAAAAGGATACACAAGTGAAGAAATCAGAAATCAACAGTAAAAGATTGTCAGTCATCACTCTCTAACCTCAGAAACACCTCACACACTCTGCAGCGACTCTCCTCATAAAGCTATGTTTCACTATCCTGGTCGACGTGGATTGGCAACGAGGGGTTTGGAGAAGTGGACGTCTGGACCACCTGAGAGGAAAGCTGCATGGTGGAGCCCTCGAGCAAGGCACTTCATCCACAGTGGATTATCTGAGAAACTCACACTCGCAACACTGGCTTTGTTTACATTCAGGATACTAGCTTTAGTACATTTAAAGCAGGGGTGTCAAACTCAAGGCCCGGGGGCCAAATCCGGCCCGCGACTTCATTTTCTGTGGCCCCACAAGAGCTTGCAAAGAATATAATATGTGTACATGCTACTTTACAGAAGCACGTTGCCCATAAACTACATGTCCCACAATGCATCTCAAATTTGACTTTTTCTCAGAATTGGACTTTGTCAAAATATGCCTTTTTTTCCTCAGATTTTTTTTTCAAGATGTCACTTCTTTTTTTCTTTTTTTTCAGAATGTGGCTTTTCTTTTAAAATCATATTGTGACATTCTCACTGAAGAGACTTGCAATTATTTGCCACAGACTTCTGCTTTCAGACATACTTAACTATGAAGTTATTACCCTATCCGATAATAATCCAAAGCAGAGGCAATTATGTAATATAATACATATTCAACATTTATGTCTTTTTATATAGTCTTAAAGTTACAACCGGCCCTTTGAGTGCAACCATAATGCTGATGTGGCCCGTGATGAAATTGAGTTTGACACCCCTGATTTAAAGCCACTGTTAAAAACACATTTATGGCAAAAGAAAAATGTTTTTTGGTGTAATCATGCAACAAATATGTCATTCTCTGATGTTAAATGTAACATTTGAGCTTTAGAAAATCTAAAATGACCCAAGTTGCATTATTTTAGAGTGTGGAAAACCCCTTTTTCACTTTCCTAAATCATTATTTTGAAACATATGATAAGTTACATTAAAATGCCACCTTGTTTATTATGTCATTGAGTAATTTAATGTTCTGACCACTTTCCTTAAAAATCTATTTATTGTGAGTTACTGAATGGAATACAAATAAGGTTGTTGATGCATGTAAATAAAGCCAGTGTTGACTTCTATAAACCAAATAATAAAAAAAGAGGATTGTGAAAAAGATGATAAGGCAATATTTTAAGATTGTGCTGCTCACACAAGGCACGGCACATTTACAGAAAAACAAACTTTCAATACATTGTCAGGCAAGTAAAAAAAAAAATTCTGATCCTCACATTTTCCATCATCGTTATGCGTCAAAAAAATCACTTGAAAAAGTTCAGACTTCTTGAGCATTCCCAGTCTTCAAGGTCAAATTCAGAATACTGAACGGTTTGGTGTTCAAACGGTTCGACAGAGAGCGGTCACCGTTTACTGATTGTCAATAAGCGAGAAGGTACTGGATGATAGCGTCAAAACAGAACATGGCACAGGTCTGTAGTAAAAGATAAACAACACTCACACTTGTGGTCATTTCGGATAAATAAGGAAAATGTACCAAACACAAACTCTTTGTTGAAATTGTATAAACAGAGAAAGCTATTTGTTCTTTTTCAGATTACATTTCCTGAAGCCATCCTGCCTCGCCCCTCCTCTAACTTGTATCTACCAATTTCTTTCTGAATCCTCCTCTCTTGCGTTAAGGACCAGCCCGGCAGCAGGAGAGGAAGAGTCCGCCATCTTTGTTCTGCAAAAACACTGATCGTCATCTTCATCATCACCTTCGTCATCGAGCGACGACACACACTCCCAACATTCAATTAGAAAAAAGGCACACGGCTCATTACTTTCAAAACCCAAGCACACTTCTTTAGGCCACAACAAAAGAAAAACAGGTAATAACAATTATAATAATAATAATAATAATAATAATGTAAATAATATTAACCACAATAATAAGCAGCATGTTGTAACTGAAAAGAGAAAATATATATAAACCAATATATTTGTACATTTCAGTACAAAAAAAAGGATATTAAGTGTTTAGAAAACTATATATAATGTATTTGTTTGTATTGCACATAGTCAAACTATCACATGTTTGCTGTTGTAAGAACATGTTGCACGTTTGTGTTTCCCTCCAGAAGATACGAGGGGGCGGGTTAAGTTACAATGCAACTCATCTTTGCAAAATAGCTGTAAAAGTGTGCATCTTGATTTGTGTGTGTGTGAGTGTGTGTGTGAGTGTGAGTGTGTGTGTGTGTGTGTGTGTGTGTGTGTGTGTGTGTGTGTTAGAGTTTTGATTCTCAGTGAGAAACCAACTCAGCACCATCTGACCCGGCAGGTTCAGGCCTGGCCGGGTCTGGCTTTGATTTCTCTTAATTTCTTTAAATAAAGTTTCTTTCTACTCATCAGTTTGTTCCTTAGAACAAAGCATTGGGTGTTCTCTGCCCCCCTAAGTAAACAGGAAGTATCATAAAAACGGTTTTCTTGCTTTCTTGATCCAATTCTTTGTGTGAAAGAACACCTCAGTCTTTGATCCGACTAAAACCGAATTAGGCTTGATTTTTTTTAGCCTTGTGTGAAATCTATCCATGTTTTTTGTAGGATCGAATGCTTTTGTAGCTGAGCTTTGAAATGGTTAGTTAGAGGATCAGTAACTTGAAGCATCTTAAAAACACAAAGATATTTGTAACAGTAACCTCTTAGGGAAGAAGGATCAGGCTCCGTCTTAAGGACAAATCAACACGGTGAACTACAGTTGGCACAAAATGAGGCAGCTGTGGATATACAAGATATATGTAACCAAACACATTTCATTTAGTTAATTTAATTCCAATATTTCAAGATTGATCTGCTACAAAAGGCAGATATCAAGATGGCCGTTTCTCAGAGGAACTTCTTGAAATATTGACACTGAAATCTTCCTGCAGAGATTTCTTCATCCACCCCAAACTGTGCTGATGCATGTGTGTGAGTGTGTGCACGTGAATGCAATGTGTCTCTGTAGCTTATTTTGCAGCAGCTGTGAAAGAGGCGTGTTCAGTCTCCCTCTACTTCACTGTCTAACAGTAAACTGGTGTCACATCGCGTGTCCGATATCGGGGTGTGAAGCAGCTCCTGCGTCAAAAGATCACCGCGGAGGTTTTTCAGTCGTCCGTAAGACACGAGGGCGGAAGGAATGGGACAAGAAACCGCCGGAAAGATCCAGAAGCAGTCCTCGAATTTGACATCTTGTCTGTGATCCAATCATACTCACGTTCTCAAGATTCAATCCTTTCTAACCGATTCAGCCTTTATGCACGCAGGATGTCGTTTCTTGGTCCTGGATGAGGGGAGTTTTGTTTATTTGAAGTCATTGTGAACGCACTATAGTTTCCACAAGGGGGTGATGTTCACCAATCTCCACACACACACACACACACACACACACACACACACACACACACACACACACACACACACACACACACACACACACACACACACACACACACACACACACACACACACACACACACACACACAGCAGTGATAGGGGAAGTGTCACGAGCTAAAAAGACGCTCAGAAAGTCAGTCTGCAGCTCTACACGTACACCGGCTCACACCCTTCCCCCTGCTCTCCTTCCTCGTCATCATCCTCATCGTCATCATCATCATCCTCTTCTTCTTCTTCTTCTTCTTCCTCCTGATCGCCCTCCTCTTCCGGGCTTGGCGATGCCTCGCTGACCTCGGGGGGTTTCGGGTAGCGGAAGGGGCAGCCGTTGTCGTCGAAGAATCTGCGGAAGGTGAACTCGTAGAAGGCGTGCTCCGGGTGTTTCCCGTTAGGAGAGCAGAGGATGTCCAGCGCCCGGCTGCTGTCCCCGCTGTCGCTCCACGCCCCGGGGCCGCAGTCGTCATCCACGGGGTCGAAGTTGGAGGTGTCCATCGAGTGGGCGATCTTGGGCCGGTAAGGGGCCGGTTGCTGCCGCAGATTGCTGGTGAAGTCCACCTGGGAGAAGAAGGGGTGAGCCTTGATCTCGCCGGCGCCGTTGGAGCCCACTCGATCCTCCGCGGAGCAGCAGAGGCGCCCGATGATGTCCACGGCCTCCGGGCTCAGTTTGACCTGAGCAGGAACCTGCAGGGTGCTCTCCCAGTTAATCACCTGCAGAGGGGAGGGACAGAACGCATGAGGTTACAACAGATACAGTAATGTCAGATCTCATACTCAATCTGTTGGATTCACACACATTTCATTCATTGCCCTCCAAACAGTCGTGGACTTACATCTTTTCAACAGGGGTCAACAATGTGACACAATTACTGGACATAAAATACACACAGTTTTCACACACACGACCAAATAGTATATATGTTCATTTTAATTCATTTTATAGTTATTTATCATTTTTATCCTTAATTTTATTAATCTGTGTGATCTCATCATCTGCAAAGAAGTTAGTGGTTTTCAAAGTCTAACAATGTGGGCCTCCCCCTTGGCAAAACTTGGAATAAGGTGCCCTCTTACCCTTCCTTAGTTTACTTCCTAAGTTCCAGTTATCTCATTCCATTGACACCCGACCATTAAGGTAAAATAGCGTTTCATTGCTGTTTGTTATCAATCGGTGAATAATTAAATATCTAATTCAAACCATATGGATATTTCTCTTCCTCACTGACCTTAATCTGAGTCTCAGTAGGTGTGGGGGCCAGGAATGGCGGCTGTCCCACCAGCATCTCAAACAGGATCACTCCCACGCTCCACCAGTCACACAGCTGGGTGTAACCTGCAACACAGAACACACATATCAGATTCATCCTCAACTGCACATACTGCAAGAAAAACATATTATATGTATTTGTACAAACACTTTTGATTTGAAGTGAAAGAAAATAAATTGTGCGATACATATTTTGTTCGACATGGCCAGTTTGAAATGACCAATTGGTTAATGCAAATACCAAACATGCATTTGGTTGATGTTGTCCCCTGTCAAAACATGTGCTAACCATTTCACAAGATTACCTTTGAATTATTGAGCATATTCACACATTTTCCCTTCTCGCTAAGATATGTACTCTCTTTCCAAACATCACCTATCAAAACCGTGAGTCAGGCTGCTGCTCTACACAAGGCAGCATCTACATTTGATTTGGATGGTTGAATACTCAAAATGTTTTCATTCAAAATACACTTCATTTAAAACATTGTTAAGTTGTTTCAACTATACCTTCAGATTTCCCCCCACCTTTGCGCAGTAGCACTTCTGGTGCGATGTAGTTGGGGGTTCCCACCAGAGAGTGCGCGAGGCAGCGCTGGTGCTGCCGGTTCGCTCTCTGCTCCAGAGTCATCAGCCGGTCCCCGCAGCGACAGTTCGACACATCGTCCCAGAAGTCACTGGGCTCCATGCTGTCCTGTCTGACGTGGCTCCCTGCAGGCACAAAAAGGGGCAACAATGACAACAACGCAATGACACACTGAGCTGATAAGCTGCATGGGAAAGAAAAAGTTAAACCTATTGCCCGTGAGCGAAGCCAGAAGAAGATAAGTGTCTGGATTTGGAAGCTGACGTACATACTGACAGGTATGAATGTGTCTGAAAGGCCCCTGCAAGCTATTTTCTTTTGCTATACTTGGAGTTTCAAGGACAATTGAAGCTCGAGCTTCAGGGTGAGAAGAAATATTTGAAATATAATTTCTATTAGAAATCAGTGAGATTAAGACCTAGTTTTACGGAACATTTGTGAATATCGCTTTTAATGTCACTGTAGAGCTCAAATAGTCAGGTCATGAATCAATCCGCTTAAAAAATAATCAGCATCTACTTGGTAATCATTCAACCATTTAAGACATTTTCAAAGCAAAGATAATCTGAATCCAGCCTCTCAAAGAAGATGCTTTGATGCTTCTATTGATCATACATCAATGTTACGTAAATATTTTTGGGGTTTTGGACTTTAGGTAGAACAAAAAAGGATATCTGAAAACAGCCACAATTGGTTCTGCAAAGTTGTGAAAAAAAAAACATTACGACATTTTATATCCCAAAAAAGTATCAATCATACTCATGGATTTAAACAAATGGTTAGTTTCAGCCCTTTTCAATGGGATCAAACAGTATATTGTTGCGTGTTTCTAAAAACGGTATTAAATCCAGCATGCATTCAAAGTGTATGTTTACATATTTAGATCACTAATCCATTTTCACAAACTGCCTCACCTTTCTGGTAGTACTTGGAGTTGTGTGTCCAGCGGAAGCCGGTGCACAGGCCGAAGTCGGTGAGCTTGATGTGTCCGTCCACGTCGATGAGGATGTTGTCGGGCTTGATGTCTCGGTGGATGAAGCCCATCTTGTGGACGCTCTCGATGGCCAGCGTTAGCTCCGCGATGTAGAAGCGCGCCAGATGTTCGGGGAAGATGCCCATCCTGATGAGGAGGCTCATCATGTCTCCTCCGGGGATGTAGTCCATGACAAAGTAGAGGCTGTCGCGGTCCTGGAAGGAGTAGTAGAGACGCACCACCCACTCGTTGTCTGCCTCCGCCAGGATGTCCCGCTCTGCCTTCACATGAGCCACCTGCACCAAAAAAAAAACATCCATTTAAGTAACAACAGTAATATTAACAGACCTGAGGCCTGTACTACGAAGCCGGATTTTCGCTTAGCGAGGTAACTTCAGGGTTAACTCTGGGTTTCCGGTGCTACGACGCTGGTTCACTTCTTACCGGGTAGATCTCCATGGTAACTTATGCTGAACGGCTAACCTGCTCCGGAGATCAACTCAGTGAAAGCACCGCCTGCTGACCAATCAGAGCTCCGTGTGCGGCGTTCAAAGCTATCAAGTCATATTACAGCATAAAGGACATACAGAAAAACTGCCGTTGCAGGAAAGACGGCCGGCAAAAACCTACTGACTGTGTGAACGTGAAAATGTAACCGGATCAAAGTAACATTACGTACAGTCTGTGAGTGCAGACGTCGTTGTGTCCCATTATCATTCATATATCACATCTTAATGTATCATATATCTCCTTATCTGAGTCAGCTGAGCCGTATCTGGCCGTGCAACACTCACAGTGTCACATACTGTATGCAGAAGTATTATTTTAAGCAACACATTAAGTTGACGAAACACTCGAGTCAAATGTAATTAAAGTCAGATCCACTCGTGTCTTAGACGGGGCAGTGATATCATAAACCTGTTAATGTACGCATTCAGACCCTTTTTCTATTACCAGCTGTATTCACCTTGCAGGTGCAGCTATGTGGCTTTTATCCTGGATAAAGTGTTTAAGTCATGGATGTTTAAAGTTTAACTTCTTCATATTTGACTAATATTAAAGTTGACTTTTCATTCTTGAAGTATGACGCTGCGCTGTCAGTACGCGGCTTGTCCATGCTTGTGATTGGTCAAATGTTGCTAACCCCGCCCCTTTCACGTGAACGCGCACTCAGCAGGACTGAAAAACCCTGGATTGAGTTACCGAGTTGATGTACAGCGTCGTAGGACCGCTTAGCGAGATCGCGTTTGTTAGGGTTAGTTAAGCCAGATAACTCAAACATATCCAGGTTAGGGTTAACTATGTTTATGTCAGCACCAATACACTAAAGAAAATGATCTCGTCTGTCAAAACATGATTCAAACTCAGGTCTTTTTCGTATGTGAACAATCATGTATCAACTCACCTGGTTGCGGTTGAGGACATCCTTTTTGCGCAGTGTCTTCATGGCGTAAAGTGCGCCCGTGTCCACTTTACGTGTCAGACTCACTTCACCAAACGCACCGATGCCCAGAGTCTTGAGTTTGATGAACATGGATTTGTCCATCTTGGCCCGGCGCAGTCTGTTGTAGTTGGACTCTTTCTGGTTCAGCATCTTCCTCATCTGCTCCTGCTCTGCCTCCGACAGGCCGGCCTGGGCAGCGAGGAAAGGGTTAAAGAAAGACATGACGGGAATATACAACAACCCTTTGATAAGCAACTTTTTAAAAAAGTTCCATTTTTGTATTCATTATAACTAACGACCTAGGAATGTGGCACATGCTTGACCCGGAGGCACCCTGACCGTTGCCGTCATATTCAACTAATTCTTCTGTCTGGGTCTGACTGCGGTATTTTCTCAAAAAATGCTTTTCAATCACTTAAAGTACTTGAAAAGGGCAGAGGTCAAAGTCATCACTCGGGACAAGTGTGTACTCATTGGCTTTTCTTTTCAAGACAAAGATGTTTTTGTCTAAAACAAAAGTCCTGAGGAACAATTCTTCTGACATTTCCCTGAACTGCCAGAAAACTAATGTATGTCTGCTCTACTGCAAACAAAGTATAAACATACACTGCCAATGCATTTGAATGAGGTACATGTAATCTTTTGTATTTGTTTAATTTAACTTATTAATCGTATTTGTTTTTTATCGTTTGTCTACCGTAATTTTCGGACTATAAGGCGCACCTGAATATAAGCCGCAGCAGCTAAATTGAATGATGTGTACATATATAAGCCGCACTGGACTATAAGCCGCAGGTGTTTTAATGTTTCATTACCATATGTAAGGGTTTGTGCACAGAGGGGATTGTCGGGAAAGAGATGGCTGTTTGAGGAAGCTCCCATTTATTAACATTTCAACAAACAAGTTGCATATTTGCATAACGTATTCAAGTGTTAGCATTTAGTGCAATAGTAGCTACAGAACATGTACTGTGTAAACTGTACTGTATCACATAGCGTTTCAGACACACAAACTTTTCAACTTTCAAACTTAAACGGTGCGCTCCCAGCGCACGTACCGGCAGTGATCTACAGCAGTGGTTTTCAACCAGTGGTACGGGGACAAACTGTCTCGCTCTCGTAATGTCTGTCTGTCTTGCTCTCGTTCTGTCTCTCGTACCACTCTCGGTTCCACTTTTACTTTTGCGCGCTACCTGTCTCACTCTTTTCCGGCCTCCAGCTTTTCCTGCTGGAGCCCGCCGCTTAAAGGTGGGGGTCCGCGGACCGGCCATAGAGCCCATAGAGTTAAAGGTGGTGGCCGTTAGCTGTAAAAATCCATAGATTAGCCGCACCGTTATATAAGCCGCAGCGTCGAAAAATGGGGAAAAAGGCGCGGCTTATAGTCCGAAAAGTACGGTAATCTATTTCACACACTAACCGGGTGTTTTCGACGGGCTGCTTCCAGGTTTTCTGCCACTTTACCAATATAGAGCTGGGAATAAAGTGTCCGGTTGGCCAAGTCCAATTCTGTCAATGCTTTGGGCGAAAAACAAAACCCCCGCTCCCCCCCCCCAGGCGAGTGCCTGACACACCCATGCCTGTTGAAGAGAGAAAAGTTTTGTATCTGAAAATGAACCCGCCCCGGCGGCGTCCGCAAATAATCCCCGGGATAATTGCCGGGCGGGTTTCATATAAAAACATAGGTAGGCGCTCGTACTGAATCACGCTGTTTCAGGGAGCGAAGTGCGGAGGACATGGACAAGCGGAGACGATAGCGCACTGCCCCCAGAGACGAACGGATTGTTCGTTGGTGTCTCTGTTTGTCCCTCAGTGACAACAACGTGTAGTCGTACGCGTTTACTGCGCGTGAAAGACGACGTGTCAGTCCAAAACGCGGGTTGGTGGCGTACATTGCAATGTAAAAGACAACCGACAATATTAGTAATCGAGATTTTCAGCGTACACTACACATACATAAAAATGGTATCTGATATATATTTACCATAAAAAACAATATTATGTTAACATAACGTAGTCGATAACATAACCGGACAGTCGGATTTACTTTACATTAACATGAACATCGCGTATATATTCCGAAATAAAACAGGAATTTCGCACTAGCCGGGCAGGTTAAATTTAACCGGTTAAGTGAGGTTTACTGAGGTAATTATAATTCCATGTTAAGGTTGCCACATGTGGGAAAATTAAATTAAACCGTTATGAGGCATCGAGTTACGATTTATATAATCTCGCTAGCTGCGGCGGAATTTTATTTTAATCGTAAATGCGGGTGCGGTCGCAGACCCATTAAAAATATGAACTTGAATATAAAGACAGTCTGGACTAGTTGTATTTGCTGTACCTCGAATGTATGAAATCAGTATAGAAAGGAACGTGACCACTTTACTTGTGTACTGACGACACGACTCATAATGAATCATAAGCCATAACTTTCATCGGTATAGACTATACTTATTCTAAATCTCCCGATCGGTACTCGATTACTCACAAATTATTACCCTGTGGTACTTGGGGATCACTGTTGTAGATTAAACGTAAGTCAAAAGTCTTTACTTTCTAGAACCTCCTTTCACTACGGTGAACACCGACTTCTCCTCTCGACCTACGTCCAACGTTTCAGGTAGACCTTCCACCAGTACCGATTGTTCGACTCTACAGTGGTTAACCCTCCCAAACTTCGAGTCAGTTTTGTGTAAAGGGGAACAGTCTGAAAAAGTTTTTTGTCAAACTGTTTTTTCCTCACCGCCGAAACTACGTGAGAGACGGACGTGTTTCTTTAATAATACCGTCGTCCACCCTCACGTACCCCCGGCCAACCGGTGTGACAGTCTGTCTTTAAGTGTTTGTATTCCGACTGGTGTTAGTGTCTTTGGTTTCACACGGGGTGCGGGAGGAGTCTTTCGTCGGGAAGGGTCTTGGGGGGTTTCGGTCGTCGACTGTTCTAAGTTCCTTTCGCTATCGCGGTATGTTGATGGTCATGGATACACACTAAGCGTATAGGTTACGTCTCTCACACACACACACACACACACGCACGCACGCACGCACGCACGCACGCACGCACCACGCACGCACGCACGGCCACCGCACCAGGCACACACACACACGACCACGACACACCACCTCTTCTCGATCGGTTCGGTTGTGTTGACAGGATTACGGAAAACACGGTTACAAAACCCCCTCGAAAAAAAAAAAACAACTCGTTTACGATTCGATTTCCACGACAGTCATCCGTTCAAGCAAACATCGATTAATCTAAACAAAGGACTTTACCTCATTGGAGGTATATAAAATTAGACAAAGAATCCGTTACGCAGGACGCGGACAATAAACAGACTTGTAGGGGATGGAGAGAGTTGACGTTGGACAGGATCAACTGACTCAGTTGTTGACCGACGGGGACGTCTGTTTTATCGGTGAAATCATCCTAATTTGACAGTGCTTGGCGACGGGAGAATGTTCTACCACGTACCAGAGACCGTGTGTAGAGACGTCCTTGCGAGTAAGTTGAATTCCTTCATAAGGGAAAAGAGAATTAGCATCTACCTCTCAATGTAGATCGGTCATTATTTTTTCCACGATAACGTTTACGAACACTCGATGAAACTGGTTAACTCGGAACCGTTCCTACAAAACACCACGCTTGTACCAAAACCCAAGAAGACCTTCAACAATTGTCAGTGTACGGACGTCGAACCTCCTGACTAGTAGACGTTGGAAAGAATCCTTTTCGTATAAAGGGAACAGTTTGACCCAGTCGTACTACGAATCTGAGTACGTTGACAACTACGCTCCGTCGTTCAGTCCTGACCTCTGTGTCTTAATATCTGTCTTGGTAACATTTTGCGAAGAACTACAACGTACCACTAAGTACAGTGTGTTTTACGGCCACACGTGTTACTACGTTTTTCAAAACGTCTCGGGAACTCTTGCATTGAACCTCGTCGACAAAATGTCTAGAGGTATGACTGGTGGACACCCGTAGTCTAGTCGCATTGACTTACGAGTTAAATCTAAAAATCCGAATTCACCTATCTAACTCAAGGGACGAGAAGCCAAAGAGAGATATACACAACTCACGCACACTGTGAATCAGACACATTTTACTGAATACAGAAATAAAACGTCTAGTAGCATGGATTCTCTTTCTTTAGCGCGACAGTCTATGTACCTGTAATGGACGATGTTTAGGGTCCTCCAAACAGAGGGTGGCAAACCAACCAGACGGCGCATACTGCAAACCCGCTACGTTTGTTTTTCTGACCCGGACACAATGTTCCAGGCATGATACCAAAGTACCCGCTTTTCTCCCTGTTTCGAGAGATGGTCCTAGGTAACGCGTCCGGAATAACTTCTGATGGACAGTCGCTCTTTCGTGTCGCTTCCTAGCGTAAACACGTGGTTCTCGGAGTCATTCTTCCCCTACGATATAATCCCCCAAATCTTGTTCCTTGAGTTTACGACTTACAGGACGAAAGACTCTTTTCAATAATTATGAATATTATTTTACACAATGAAACAAAAAGAAAACCATCCATACCTGACTTAACCGCCTTCTTCGTCCTTCCTCGGCCTCACCATTTCTTTCTTAACCAAACTCTTGGTTTCACCTGGACGTAGAGTCACCACCATGGAGTCGACATGACGGCTTATATTTCTCATACACTACCAAAAGGTCCCACTCACAAAAAAATATATATGTCGACATATATTGTGTGTGGTATAGTCTTTATGTACGTATAACGGTTAGAAATATTTGTTTTCCTACCCAAGTCCATAAATGAACTTGCGGACCGGGAAGACACGTAAATTCCTTTCAGTGTTGGAACCAGGTGTTCGACGGTACTTTTCGGTCGGAAGTTCCAACAGTGGAAGGACCGTACGAAATAGTTTGGTCTCG